TTTTTTTTTTTTTTTTTTTATGTGAAGCTTGTTATACACATTTTTATTTTTCACATCACTAGCTTAGTTCGTTATATGATATGGAAAAACCATAGTAATCAAATACTTTTCAACAAGGCAGATTATTCAAAACTTAAATAGAGAAACAAAATTACAAATAAAGCAATCGATTGCCCTCTAATGTATCTAAAACGATTGTGAATAATAACACCACATTGCGTACATAAGAGAACAAATGATTTTTATTTTTTTGTGACAATGTCGTTAGAGAATAATGTTGAGACACGCATGCACCATAATTAATAGCTCGGGCTTGCAAATTGACGTCCCACAACAATTAATGATGGAAATATCCCACTTCTTTTGTGGATCATAAAATGAAACACGTCCAAATTAATAGTTTTCTCAATAGTAAAATGGGTAGGTCCCTCTCCACTCAAATTTCTATGTCGGATATCTATCATTAATATCTCTTCTTTATACGACTTGGGGGTTCACTTCATCAAGTCTTCATGAATGGACTCAACTATTAGGAATATCAATACATTAACCACTATTTAACTGCAAGACAAAATGCCTTGTTCAACATATTTTCTTAAATGAACAATAATATTCAATTCCTAGCCTACTGGACCGTAACGATCTAAATCTTGAAATTTAGAATTAGTATAAAAACAATAATGTTCCTTTTATTTCTTTCAAAAATTCGGATTAAATTAAAATTTTCTTAATTTTCTTTTAACTTTATAGTTACCTTTGCATTCTATTACATGTTCTAAAATTGATTGGTAACAAATGATTTTAGTTAGACAACTTTGATTTGTTAAATGGCAAAACTAAAACGGAGGATTCAAATGAATGTTATCTTGTATAAAAGGAGTTAAATTCAGCAACGCGCTACCCAATGATTAAGTTTAGTTGGACCATTTATCGGATACGTAATTTTATGAAATTTTTACAATATTTTCTAAACTCATTCAAGTACAACATAATACAATTTTAGAATTTTCTAAGATCATTTAAGCACTCTAATAGACACTCAAACATGTAAAAAAATTGTTCTTGGGTGCACTGAACAAAGCACACAAAAAATAGCACAACTTATTTGCACAAAAAATAGCACAACTTATTCTAGCAACCTTAAATTGACTTAATTCCAGGCTTTCAAACCTCACTAGTTTGTCCAAAAATTCAGAACATTTTGTCTGGAATGACGTGACAAAGTTCAGGCAGTAAGCTGGAAATTTTTGTCTATAAGTCTAATTTTTAATCTGAAAAATTTGTCAATATAAATATAAAAGATGTGAGCCATAAGTTCAAAAAGACTAATATCACATGATGCACCCCTTTTGATTATAAACATATATACAAAGTAATAGGAAAGAATTTAATATTTCACGTAAATGAACATCAACAAATTCATGATTTTGAAAAATCCCTTGGGATCGTAGAAACTGGTTATGGCCATGCATAAATTTCTTTATTCATAACTTCAAAAATTCTAACATACATCACCAGCATACATATATATACATAATAAACAAAAAGGGATAAATACTTAGCACTACATACCATGATTTTCTTGAAATATAAATGAACAAGATGTATAAAAGCCTTTCTCTTTCACACCCGTACTATTTCTTGAGACTTAACATCAAATATATTTTTGAGAGAAGAAAATAATGAATTCGGATTTGAGGAAAAGTATAATGAAAAAGTGACTTTCCTCTTTTTGAACCTCCATTTTTAGTGAGAAACTAAATGGGAGAGTTATATTATCGTTAACTTTGTTAAATCGAATCTTTAACTAGGAATTTAAAGAGTTATAAGCCCATAAAAAATAAGTGAAAATTATATAGAAACCTACTTCTAAAGATTCCATTTCATAAATCATATGCTAATTTTACTATTTCAAAAATCAAAATTTTTATAATTAATATAATATTATTAGATAAATATATTATTAAATTGAATTAAATTATAAACCAACCCTACCTCCCTCAACCCCTCCTCATTTCTCCTAAACCATTCCCTTTTTCTCATTTCTCACTCTAGCCTGAAAACAACCACCGGGCAGTAGTTGGAAACCAACCGTTGCTCCATCGGCCACTTGCCTGAAAACAATCATCCTTAGGCCATTAAATTGGTTAATTCGTGACCAATAAACAGTATGTGATCAACAAAAAAGATAAATTGTGATCAAGAAATTAGTTAATTTGTAATATGTAACCTAAAAAAAGTGACCGTGGCTTACAATTGATTAAGTTGTGATCGAAAAATTAATCGCAACCAATAAATCTAATAATTTGCAATGAATAAATGAGTTGTGACTAATAAAATTTTTTATTCTGTGACTGATGAATAATAGATGATCTATAAAATTTTGATTCGTGATCGAAAAATAATATGTAACTTATAACATTTTTTTATTTGTGATTGAGTTGTTACAGATGATTTGTTAATTTGTGACTAAATAATTAAATAACTGTGACCAAATTATATAGAATTGTGACATCAATATATTCAATTAGTAAACATCAATATATTCAATTAGTAAAATGTATGTTTAATAAATTAATTTATAAATAAAATTTTAAAATATTTGATTTTCGAAATTTTGTTTCTTAAATTTGAAATGTGCCATATTTAATCTCTTATTTATGAATTTTTCTCAAAAAAATAATTATTATAAAAAGTTTTATAAAAAATTTACAAAATGAAAAATAGATGAAAATGAATTATTCCATCCAATTAATTTGATATAATTATTCTT